AATGAGCGCCATGTTTAGTTGGCTTTGCCCTTGGGACTCCGTTTCAGGACTGGCTTGGAGCTGGCGCTGTTACTGTGCAGGAGGCGCAGCTCCTCTTGCAGCTGTGTGACTCGTCTGGGTGCAGTGACATGTCGCTCGCTGTCCCGCACCACCGTGCTGGGCTCTGGCTCTGTGGCCGTGTAGCCCCAGCTTTGCAGTGTCCTCCTTGCTCATTCTGGTGCTGAGCAGTGAGGCAGGGGCTCCCCGGGATGTGTGCTGGAGGTCCCTCTGATAGGAGAACCCAGGTGCTTGGGGGTGGGCTGAGCCCAGGGCCCTTTCGGAAAAGGCAGATAGTTGCATACTGTAGCAGACTCTAGTGGACTGGAGGCAAGTAGCTCTACTTACTGTAAGAAAAAGCGATAGCTGAGTCTTAAAAACACCCATCCCCTTTTGAGAAAGGGTTTCCAGATTGCGCAGGCCACCCTTGGACTGCTGCCCCTGGTGATTCTCCTGCCTCAAGCTTCCAGGTAACTGGAAGCCTACAGGGACGTGGCGTTTTCCCTCATAAAGTGTTTACTTTTGTTTTGCCTTCAGGTTATAGCTGCGTCAGCAGTAACGTAGACTTATGTCTCCTTGCTGAAGCTGGGAAGTGCTGTTGCAGTGGGTAAGAACACATGCTCTAACTGAATGTGGTGGCACACTTGGGAGGCTGAGGCAGGAGAATCCCAAGTTCATGCCCAGCCTGGGCAACTTAGTGACTTATTGAGACCCTGTGTCAAAATGAAAAATAAAATAGCGCAAAGGCTCTGGTTTCAATCCTCCATGTGAGGAAAATAAAAAAGCTCTGGAATCTGGGTTTAAATCTAGACCCTCCTGCCTGTAGCTTGATAAACTTGGGCAGGTCTCTTATCATCTGTGTCCCAGGGTCTCCATCTTAGCACAGAGAAGTGGCTTCCATTCCTGTTTATAGGATTCTTTAGGATTAAGTGTTTAATATTTGTAAATCACGTACAGGACTGGTCAGGCAGAGGCTGAGTGTTTAAAATGTCTCTGTGTAGTAAAGACACACTGCCACGGGCCCTTCAGAGCACCCCTCCTCGCTCCTGACGCCTACTCCATCACTCGCCAGTTCCTGAAGCAGCTCCGAAGTGCTCTTCCCTGAGTGTCTCTATAGGAGGCGATCAGAAGTACGGAGTGTGGCCAGGTGTGGGGGCACAGGTCTCAGGAGGCTGAGTCAGGAGGGTCACTGCAGGTTGGAGACCACCTGGGCTACAAAGTGAGATCCAGTCTGAAACACAAAACTCCAGAAAATGGAGAATGCTGCTGCCGAGTGCTATCTGACAGAGAGCGGAAACATGGTGCTTGTCCTGACGTAGCACACGCGACTCCTGGCTTTTCCCATAGACAACATGAGCGTGGCAAGCAGACATTTTGATTGGTTCAGGGCATGAAGGTAGCTGCAGCTGGACACAGGAGAGACCGGATGGATGGGTTCAAGGCATGGGGAGCACCTGAGGGGATCAGGGGTGCTGTGTCTTCTGCTGTAATCTTATTTTACGGTCATTTAAAAAGTTTACTCCGCCTAGCTTTCTATCAGGCCTATAACTTGGGGCATAGCAGGGCTGATTGTAAGGGCTGGTTTTCGGCGTCCCAGTGCTCATCAGCAGGCATCTCTGATACACCCTAAAGCACAGCTTCTGGTGGGCACTGTTGCTCTGGTGCTTGGTGCTTTCCCACCAAGCCATGGCCCTGGGCCTTTGTACTTTTACTTTTGAGATGCGATGTCATTGTGTAGTTTGGGCTGCCTTGAACTTGTTATGCAGCCCAGGCTGGCCTCAAACTCAGTCTTGCCTCGGCACCCTGGCTGCTGTGCTTGCAGGCATGTGTCACCATAGCCAGATGATTTTAGTTGTCTGTCTTATCTTTTCTCTCTCTCTCTCTCTCTCTCTCTCCTTTCTTTCATTCTTTTTGGTGTTTTGAGAAAGGGTTTCGCTATGTACCTCAGGCTGGCCTTGAACTCACAGCAGCCTTCCTGCCTCAGCCTCCTGAGTGCTGGGATGACAGGCGTGCACCAGTGCACCTGGCTTGTTTTTTAGCTTTTTTTTTTTTCTTCATTTTTAGCTTTTGATGCAGGCTCTTTCTGAGTTGCCCAGGCTGTCCTCATATGTGGAATCCTCGTGCCTCAGTCTCCTGAGTGCTGTGATCACAGGCGTGTGCCACTGTGCCTGTGAGTACTGATTTTTGAGTTTCCAACAATAGCATTTGAGGTTGTAAGGAACAGGTTTTTTAAAACAATTTTATTGACTCATTGATGGATTGTGATACTGGGGATTGAATTCAGGGTCTTTGCACTAAGCCGCATCCATGCCCTTTTTAAACATTTTGAGACAGAGTCACCAAGTCACTGAGTTGCCGGGTGTGGGATGGAACTTGCAGTTTTTCTGCCTCAGCCTCCCAGAGTGCTGGCATCATAGGTGTGGGTTGCTATGGCTGGCTTTTCTTTTAAGAGATGCTGCCTCAGGGCTGGAGGTTCTACCTCAGCGTGCAGTGCTCACCTGCCCTGCACAGGAGAGAGGGAGGGATGCAGGGGAGGTCGTGTTGCCAAGGCCAGACCGGATCTGGGCTCCTGAGTAGCAGGCTCAGCTTGAATGCTGCTTTAGTAGCAGCCTCAGGCAGGGCTCTGAGGGGTGCAGGGTGCCTTGGGGAGGAGAAGCCTCTGGGCCTGGGCTTGCTGCAGGGGCTTTTCCAGGTCTGCGAGGGCAGGGCGAGGCTCCTCAGTAACACTTGTCCCTGCCGCTCTGGTCTGTCCCTCTCCGCCCCGCCAAGCTGGCAGGAACGCGGTGGTGGGGTTAGCAGGTTGGCACCTGTGGCCTGCTGGGGGCTTCAGTAGGAGTCCCTTGGGGTTCCCTGGCACCTGCACGTGTCTGGTGGGGGCATTCAGGTGGCCAGTGGGGCCTGAGTGAGAGAGGTGCCTGTTGCTAGGGCCTGAAGTCACATGTGCCATGTGGGCACCAGGCCACTCAAGCAAGGCCCAGCGTTGGTGTCCACGCGCTAGGGAAGGGGTCATGTGTGCAGGCCCGGCAGGGGTGTGGGGCCGCATCCGGAGGCTGGTGCCATCTAAAGCCAAGTTGCGTGATGGCCCTGGCCAGCATCTCAATTGTGCAGAGCTGCAGCCCTGTTGACCTTGCGGCCTCCAGGAGAGCACAGCTGCTCCTGCACTGCTCAGGCCACCCTTCCCGGTGCCCTGACCGCCGTCTGCTGCGGCCACACGGTAGATACACAGTCATCCACCAACGGGGAAAGGAGTGGAAGACTTAGATCTGTGCATGGTTAGGGTGAGGGTACCTATGGGGGCTACTTCTAGGGCTGTGCAGCGTCCCCGCCATTTTTTTTTTTTTTTTTTTTTTGT